ATTTTATCCTCACCAATGGCATCAAAAAGGTTGTAAATTTTTCGTGCTCGTTCTGTTTTCTTTCTAAGTGCATCATCCCTAACCGCTAACTAACTAATCCTATCTAACCCTAACCATTAACTAATCTTACTCTACCCTAACCATCAAAATCGCATATATCAAATAATTGTAACCAACTAACATGATACACAATAAAACTAATAATGATTCCAGCTTACCAATAGTAACATTGAAAATGATGTACCAATAATGACATCGACGAATCAAACCAACAAAGATCAACAAGTGAAATACTAGAAATGATGGTTCCATGAACAACAACTAGATACCTAAAAAAAAAAATCAGTTAATTACGCCACAGATAGCAATACTAGCAACAAAAAGACCAAAAATACGATTCTAGTAGTAAAAAATAATAACTAAAATGATGATCTTGCAATAAAGATTTGCAATAGATTACGACTCCAGATTGCTATATTAAATTAGCTAATCAATGCATGGATTCTGATCCAAAAAAATGGCCTAGTGCTTGAGATATTTATTGTTATAATTTTAAAGAATAAAATGAAATCATAGAAAGCTCAGATGATACAAATAAAATTATAAAAGATATACCAATACCACAAATCGACAACAAAAATCAACAAGCAAACACCAGAAACAGGAGACGCTTAAAGCCAGGTACATCACGAGCTTACCTGATTTTCTGATTTTTAATTAAAATAGAGTTAAAGTTAGATTAAGTAATTCTTATAGTAAAATCATATTTTCGACACTTTTACTTAGTGAACCAAGACTGGTTTAGATGGCGGCTTTTTATATTTTTTGTGTTTTTTTCTTTGTTATCTCACTTTGTTTTGTTCGGGCTGATCTGAGTAATATATCGGATAACCCTATGATGTACTTGGCTTTAAGCAACCTCAGAAATGACAGTTCTATGAACTAGCTACCTAAAAAAAAAATTCAGTTAATCATACCAAAGACAGGAGAAACCACCAGTAACAATCTTGTAATAGCAATACCACAGCGGAAAACAAGAAACGCAACTTAATTCTACTAATAGTGACTCTAGTAACACGACTCCATTCTACTAATAGCACCCTAGTAATATGATTTCAGTAACAATAGCTCCAGTAACGGTGACTCCAAAAGGCTCTAACGATGATCTAAGAATGACACCTATAATGATGATTTCAACACCACGATTCCAGTAACGATGATCCAAGAACGATTCGAATAATAACGCTCCAATAATGATGACACCAGGAACAACTCATGATCTATAAGTCTGAAAAAGAAAAATAAATAGGGTTAGTAAAACATCTA